GACCCATGGGATTAGTTTCGATTCCCAGGTTTGGCTTTAACGGCCTGGGGCCCCATTCTCCCGCGCACGGGAGTCAGGCCGATTGGCCTAGGGGTGGGTGGGGGGTGCATACGAATACCCTATATCCCATTATGCTTGTAGGAACGTAGCCATTCCTAACAGTGACGACGTTACTGCCTCTATAGCTCTTACAATAAAGTATAACCTTATGATAAGCGTGTACTCCTTTGTTTGGCTGTGGAAACTGACACCCTGCCCTGACTTGGATAGCTCAGGGTACTCCGATCTCCTCAGATCTCAGAAGCTAAGCAGAGTCGGCCTTGGCTAGTACTTGGAAGGGCGACCTCCAAGGAATGCCAGGGGCATGAAGCAGAGGTAGGCAATGGCAAACCACCTCTGAAAGGCCTCTTGCCTTAAAAACAAGTCCAGCTTGCCACCTGGTGGTACATAATGCTGAAAGAGCTAGAACTTCTGGCTGCCAGACAATCTTAAGATCTCCTGGCTATACTACACACAATGCCGCACGATAATAATAATTATTGTCCTGATCCATCCCCCTCCAATAAAAATAATTTCAATGTTCTTGGTGTCAATGTTAACACTGAGGCCAGTGTGGTGCAGTGGTCAGAGTGCTGGACTAGAAGCTGAGAGACCCAGGTTCGAATCCCCTCTCTGCCATAGAAGCAGAGTGCCATGGAAGTTAGTGACCTTGGGTCAGTCACACACACTCTCAGCATGACCTACCTCACAGGGTTGTTGTGAGGACGAAATGGAGGAGAGGAGAAGGCTGTAAGCTGCCTTCGGTCCCCAGTGGGGAGAAAGGCGGGGTACACACAAAGCTAATTAACGAATAAGGCGGTTCACTGTGAAAGGGATGTTTCTTTTCATTCAGCCACAAGGCGTATCCTCTGTCCTGGACGAATGAAAAAGATCAACCTAATGCCACCACGCCAAGAAAGATCTCCCCACCACCCCCCCCAGGTTTAAAATGTAGCACAGCTTTGACCAGGGGGGAAAACCCCAACAACCGTCTGTTCATGATTAGTGCAGAAATGGAAGATGACGAGCAAAAAAAGGGTGCACAGAGTTGCTGAAACAGAGGAATGCCTCTGTGTGGAATCCGTCAATATCAGGACACCAGATGAGATGGTCTTTCCCGAAAGCACTTGGGCTTTGATGAATCTCTGGGCCACAGCTGCAGATAGGGCTGCCCAGCCCCCAGTGGAGTCGGGAGATTCCGCCACCCCCAAGTTGCATTAAAAAGAAAAAGGGGGAAAAAATAAAACGAAAATAAGGCCTCATCTAATTACAGGAAGGTCTTACCATAGAGTTCCTGGCAATTCCTACGGTTACCCAAATTAAAAGGGTGACTCTAGGAGTGGCCAGAAACACTATGGTAAAAAAAATTCAGTTTTACCATAGAGATTCTGGCAATTCCTAGAGCTACCCTTTTCACTTCTGGCTAGCTCTAGGAATCACCAGGAACTCCATGGTGAGACCTGCCTGGAAGTCGACGAGGCCTTATTTTTCCTTTTAGAAGAAGAAGGATTGGATTTATACCCCGCCCTTCACTACCCAAAGGTGTCTCATAGCGGCTTACAAACTCCTTTCCCTTCCCCTCCCCACAACAGACACCCTGTGACTAGGTCGGTGGGGCTGAGAGAGCTCTGACGGAAACGGCTCTTTTTCAAGAACAGCTCTGACAGAACTATGGCTTGCCCAAGGTCATCCAGCAGGTGCAAGTGGAGGAGTGGGGAATCAAACCCGGTCCTCCCACATTAGAGTCCACGCACTTAACCACTACACCAAACTGGCTCTTCTTTAAACTCTTCTTCTGGGACACTGCCCTTCCCCACAGCTTTTCAGCTGATTGGCAGGCACTGCAGGGTAACAGCCAAGAATGTCATTCCAAATGTTCCCCCATCTTCATACTAGCACGCAGTTGGTGCAGTCAAGAAGTTGAGCTCTTAGGTGACCTTACAAGATCGTAAAGGAACACAAGGGATCCAGAGATCCCAATGATACATAGGCCTCAAGCTGTTGGTTCATAGAACCATAGAGTTGGAAGGGACCTCCAGGGTCATCTAGTCCAGCCCCCTGCACTATGCAGGAAATTCACAAATACCTCCCCCCCATACACACCCAGTGACCCCTGCTCCATGCCAAGATGACAAAAAAAACCTCCAGGATCCCCGGCCAAACTGGCCAGAAGAAAACTGCTACCTGACCCCAAAGTGGCGACCGGCATTTTCCCGGGCATGAAACATCCCGGTGACTGCTGCCCTTACCTTGGCCCACGTTATGGTGGGCTGCGGGTCCCCTTGGGTGGCACAGGTAATGTCTACGTCCTTCCCAGTCTCTGCCATCATATCTTGTGGTGGGTGAAGGAACACCGGAATCACTGTCGGAGGAGAAAGGGTGGGGCATATAGGAGAAACGTGTTGGGAACGGCCAATCAGGAGGCTACAGAGAAACCGTGAAGTATCCAGAGCAGGGGTTGTTTCGTAGAAAAAGAGCTAGGAGGACTCATTAGCATAACTCATTAGCATATGCCACACCCCCTGACATCATAAGGCCCGGCAGTGAACCTGCAAGGCCGGCGGGAGTGCGAGGAAGCCCCGCCAAGGCCCTCCCTGGCCCCAGGCAGGCAGGGGTGGGGAGAGGCGGGGAGGAGGAGGCAACTTACCCTCCCTCTTCTCCTGCCTCCTCCTGGCTGAATGAGGGCCGGAAGTGGGGCGGCCGGAAGCAAGGGGCGGGGCTTCGTCGTGTGCCCCGCCCCCTGCACCTCACCCGGGGGAACTGCGATCCCCCCTGAATCGACCTCTGATCCAGAGACTGCAAAGCAGTTGGAAACCCCGAGGAGGAAGGATTTCACACGCGGACGTACCTCGCGGAGTCACCCAATCTTTTTCTACAAAATGACCCCTGCCGAGGAGGAAGGATTTCACACGCAGACGTACCTCGTGGAGTCACCCAGAGCTGCACCGGAAAGCTCCGGACACCGATGGCGCTGATGGCGTGGCATTCGTACTGGCCCTGGTCGTGAAGGGCCACTCGGACCACCCGCAGGGTGCCGGTGGAGAGGATGCTGTGTCTCCGGTCGCTCGGCAGTGGCCCACCTAATAGCAACAGTCACATGTTGGGGAGGGGCTGTGGCTCAGAGATAGAGCACGTCTTTTGCATGCAGAAAGGCCCATGTTGGTGTAACCCCCCCAGCTAGGAATGGAATGAGCCAGGAAGGGGTGGAGCCTCTAGAGGCAGAAGGGCGCAGACTGTGTGGAAAGCAAAGGAGGGAAGCAAGACCGCCCTGCTGGGGAGCTTAACTGGAGAGCCAGTTTGGTGCAGTGGTGAAGTGCGCAGACTCTAATCTGGGAGAACGGGGTTTGATCCCTCACTCCTCCACTTGCAGCTGCTGGATGACCTTGGGCAAGCCATAGTTCTGTCAGAGCTGTTCTTGAAAGAACAGTTCTGGAAAGAGCTCTCCAGGGGTCATTTCGTAGAAAAAGAGCTAGGGGGACTCATTAGCATAACTCATTAGCATATGCCACACCCCCTGACATCACCGGAAGTGTGTCCTCCCCACAGCCGGCGGCGACCTCCAGCGGGCACCAGCAGGGAGCTCCAGGCCCCGCCCTCCCGCACCTCACCCGGGGGGATGGCGTCCCCCCGCGTCCCCCCCCCAAATGACCCCTGCTTTCAATCTACTTTCAATCCACTTTGCAACTGGATTTTGCTGTGCGAAAGGGCAAAATCCACTTGCAAACTATTGCTGAAGTGGATTGAAACTGCATGATTTATATATGCAAACTAATAAGGGAGGAAGGCTTTTGTTCTTAATTGTAATTTTAGAATTATTGTTCCAGGGCGGTGTTATCTAATGGGGAGTTCTTTTGGGACCCTTATCTTGGAAGCCGCCCAGTGCACCAAGGGCTCAGCTGGAGAAGAAGAAGAAGAGGAGGAGGAGGAGGAGATTGGATGTATATCCTGCCCTTCACTACCCAAAGGCGTCTCAGAGCGGCTTACAAACTCCTTTCCCTTCCCCTCCCCACAACAGGCACCCTGAGAGGTAGGCAGGGCTGAGAGAGCTCTCTTGAGAACGGCTCTTTCCAGAACAGCTCTGAGAGAACTTGTGACTGGCCCAAGGTCATGCCAGCCGTTGCAAGCGGAGAAGTGGGGAATCAATCCCGGTTCTTCCAGATTAGAGTTCGCGCTCCTAACCATGACGCCAGACTTCTTCAGCCACCCACAAGAGGAAAGAGATGGACTTTGGGGGCAGCAAGCTGTGAAGGAGGGAAAAGTTAATTGTTTGGACTTCAAAAGATCACGGTTCTGTCGTGTTACTAAGATCTATGCTTTTGGTACGTGATACGACGTTAAGTGAAAAGTAAAAACGTTTTATTCTCTTTGAATTATTCATTCCAGGTTCTTGCCCCATGGAACGCACAAACTGAGGTTAGATTGGCACCTCCAGTTAAAACATTCCAAGCATCCGCATGGGGAATGAGCTCTGCTTGAAATCCTGCAGAGCAGCTGGAACTTCTTTGCCCAGCAAGCGATTAAAATGTGGAATTCGCTGCTAGAAGATGCAGTGATGGCCACAGGCACAGACAGCTTTAAAAGGGGATTAGATCGATTCGTGGAGGAGAGGTCTATCAGTGGCTAGTAGCCATGATGACTAAAGGGAGCCTCCACGCTTACAGGCCGTGAATCTCTGAATCTCAATGCCAAGAGGCAACACAAAGGGAAGGACCTGGCTGTGCCAGGCCACATAGTAGAAGAGAAGAAGAGATTGGATTTATATTCCACCCTTCACTACCCAAAGGAGTCTCAGAGTGGCGTACAAACTGCTTTCCCTTCCCCTCCCCACAACAGACACCCTGTGAGGTAGGTGGGGCTGAGAGAGCTCTTTCCAGAACTGCCCTTGAGAGAACAGCTCTGAAAGACCTTATGACTGACCCACGGTCATACCAGCAGCTGCATATGGAGGAGTGGGGAATCAAACCCCGTTCTCCCAGATTAGAGTCTATGCTCCTAACCACTACACCAAACTGGCCAGTACCCCTCACTGATGACAAGACAGACAGACAGACCACAGACAGACAGACAGAGACAGAGGCGGACATTGAATGATTCCATAACTGGCTTTTAATTTTGTCTTGCCTTTTAAAACTTGGAGTCAGCTCAGCATCTTTGCAGGGAGTGGAATCAGGGCCTCGGAGCCAAGAGTCTAATCCCTCAAAAGCAGCCGAAAACCAATTAATCTTCAATAACAAGTTTGGTATTTGCGCTCTGCAGAGCCAAGTGATCTTTCCGGACTTTTTAACAGAGGATTCATTTGTACGACGGCGCTTACCTCACGCTTCCACTTCTCCTGCACAGAGTTTCCCTTTCCAATGGGACCTCTTTGACCAGATTTCCAACCCCCCTCCTTGCAGTGCCTACCTATGATGATGGTGGTATGCTAGCAAACAAATGGGCGGTAGGTAGGGGTACCAATTCTGGCCTGGGAGATTCCTGAAGACCGGGGCCCTGTGGAGGGGGGGGAATTTGGGGAGGGACTTTGCCTAGAGTTTGCCCTCTGAAGCTTCAATTTCCTCCAAGGAAACTGATCACTGCAGTCTGGAGATTACTTTTTTTCCTCCCAACCTGGTGTTTTATGACCTATGTTGTTTTAACTTGTCGTTTCAAAGTTGTTTTTAATTCTACTACAACCCAGACTACGATGTCAGCCAGCTGTTACCGGAGAATGCCGCTATGCCCGCCATCTGATACAAACGAGCACTTTATATTTGTCTACTTTATATTTCTGTTCATAACTGTACTGTCTTGATTTTATTCAGCTTCTGTTTTAAGAAGAAGAAGAAGAGAAGAGATTGGATTTATACCCCACCCTTCACTACCCAAAGGTGTCTCAGAGCGGCTTACAAACTCCCTTCCCTTCCCCTCCCCACAACAGACACCCTGTGAGGTAGGTGGGGCTGAGAGCGCTCTGGCAGAAACTGCCCCTTTTCAAGAACAGCTCTTATCAGAACTACGGCTTGCCCAAGGTCATCCAGCAGCTGCAAGTGAAGGAGTGGGGAATCAAACCCGGTTCTCCCAGATTAGAGTCCGCGCACTTAACCACTACACCAAACTGTTTTACATCATTACGATAGCCGCCCTGAGCCTTCCTTGGCAGGGAGGGCGGGATATAAATAAATAAATAAATAAAATAAATAAATACTGATGGAACCACCCTGAGCCTCCTCACAGGGTAGGGCAAGATACAAGACCAATAAAATAATTATTATTTTTGTAATTCTGGGAGAAACCCAGGCTGTACCTGGAGGTTATGTAAAAGTATATAGCACCGTGTATAATAGATTATTATTATTATTACATTCAACTTATATACCGCTCCTTCCCGAGGGCTCGGAGATGCATGTTTAAGGTAGATCGATTCTGTGCTTTTTATTTTATTTTATTTTTAAATTTTATACCGTTATATAAATATTGGCGTCAAATATGATCAAAAACAGGTCTCGCCCAAACAATACAGCGAAGCGCAGGCTTACATTCTGTTCAGATATTCAGGCAGCACCTTGCCAGTTTCACAGTCACGGTCTGAATATCGGAACCGAATGTAAACCTGCGCTTTGATGTATTGTTTGGGCGAGAGCTGTTTTTGATCATATTTGACACCAATATTTATATAACAGTATTAAAAAAATTTAAAAAATAAAATTAAAAGCCCAGAATTGATCTGCCTTAGAACATACATCTGTTATACACAGTGCTATATACTTCTGCATACCTTCCTGACACTGTGACCCTCAGTTTTTGTATTTCCCACCTGGAGGGGGGGGGAGG